TTTTTTTTGGAAAGAAGTTAATACTTTTACTCAGCAAAGATGCATTAAAATGATCAAAAGTAACTGTAAAGACTTCTACACTTTTTCCATATTTTTATTATATATGCCCATTTCAAATAAATTATATTCTTTTGAACTTTCTATTCATCAGTGTATCCTGAAAAAAATGTTTAACTGTTCTCAACATTGATAATAAGTAATGTTTTTTGAGCAGCAAATCAGAATATTAGAATGATTTCTGAAGGATCATGTGACACTGAAGACTGGAGTAATGATGCTGAAAATTCAGCTTAGACATCATAAGAATAAATAACATTTTAAAATAAATTAAAATAGTTGAAAAACTGTTGAACAGTAGTTGCTTCAAATTTAGTATTGTTTGTATACTATTATAGTATTTATTAATATTTTGAATGGGCTTTTATTTTTATGTTTTCATTTAGATGTTTGTAATTTTATGTGGTTTTGTATTCTTTATTAGGTCTTATTTTTTAATATTTAGCTTTATTTTATTTTTATTTGTGTTTTAGTTTAATACTGCATCTTAAACATTTTATTTCATTTAGTTTAAGTTGTTTTTCATATATTATAATTTATATTTGATTTGATTGGATTTTTAACGGTTATAGTTTAAAAGTGCCCCTATTATGGGTTATGAAAGGTTCATATTTTGGTTTTGGGAGTCCCCAACAACAGGTTGACATGCATGCAAGGTCAAAAAACACTTTCATTGTCTTATAATATGCATTTATTTTTACCTTACTTGCTCAACGACTCCCAAACAATTCGTTTAACAATTTATTTTTCCAAACCCCTCCTTTGTGTGACGCTAATCTGCGGTGATTGGTCCTATTGGTCTCATTTTCATTTCATCATGCCTGTAATGCCTGATAAAGCAGCGTTTGTGAGCGCAGTACTGCTTTGTGTACAGCGTTACCGGGGAAACCGCTATTTTTACCACTCCAAAAGCAGCACCTAGTGGCAAAGAATGAATTTGCATTTTCATTCAGACCAACTCGAAAAGACCAACAAGTGGGCGGGCAATATGCTACTGTTTCATGTTGACATCAACATGAAACGGCTTGGGATTCGTTTCAATGATTCAGAGTCGACTTTCTTTTGATAGACAGTAAATTTATACATGGTGCACTTTCAGATTTAAAACTTGTTTTCATTCACTTAGAGCTGTGTTACACACTGCATGAAAGGTAATTTTCAAAAATCCATAATAGGGGCACTTTAAGTTAACAAAAACACTGGTTCAGACTGTCCATTTTAATGAAGTGATTCAAAAATCTGATTCAGCAATTTATGCACATGCATATACAAATGAATGACAATAAACAAATATTTGCACAGACACACGTGCATGCAAATATTTATTTATCATTAATTTATATTTATATGCGTATATATATTAATTTTGTAAGCACTTGGTAGATTTAAAAAATTAAAAAAAAAACACTTAATCAATAAAAAGTTAATAATTAAATTTTAAAAAATTAAACTCTATTGGACTTTGTTCCACCATATAATGGAAGCTGAACTCAGGCCAGTGTCCTCAAATTGACTCTGTTGACTTGTGCACTGTTGTGTGTCTGAGAAAACAGCTGCACTTGAGTGTGATTTAGTGTTCCAGACATAGTGAACCACAGTCTCCTACACACAGACACCCAGATGAGGACAGATGAGGGTGTGCTAATGGGCCCGTCTCCTTCCACTTCCTCTATGGCCTTCTGTCTCTTTCTCTCCACTATCACTCTCACATCTACTTCTCCTTGTCCTCCACCATTACCAAATGGTGTCAATGAATCTTTTTTTACTTAGTCTATGCCCACTCGACTAAGTCTGAAGTTGTCGGGCGTAGAAGAGTTATCGCCCAATCAACTCCCAGCTTCCCCTTCACACAGGCACCAATCAGACGCTCCTACATGTAATCACAGGATTTAATCTCACCCTCGCTGAAGTGTAACAGGATTTTTCACAGTGTAAGCAGTGTTGAGGGTGGAGGTGACGGAGTGGGTTATATCACTAATGCACCCATTGACGCCGCTCTCCTCCTGGGCCAAAGGTTTACAAGCTCCTCGTTTCGCTCGCCATCGTTATTCTTGGCAATAGTCATTTTAATAGTTACTGTGTTGAAAGTACTGATGTGCTCTTCTGCTTTTGTTCGCTCCATCTGTGTAATTACCACAGAAAGGTCATTTGTGTGTGTCAGTAAAGGTCATTTATTTATCTTTGAGCTGCAGTGATGTTTCATCAGTGTAAACGTTAATATACAGTTGTGCTCATAAGTTTATATACCCCTAAGTCATGGATCATCCAGGAAATGACACTCAGTATTAAGATTCGGGGTCATTGAACGGGGTCATTTTTACAAATTCAGTTATTATTTTGTCTTCTGAAGTATATATAAACATCCGTTATGTGAAATAGCTTATTCAAGACCGTACTAAATAAAAAAATTAGATGCAATTTTCATGTTCCCTCTTATTTTATGAAAATTATTAACATTTTGCGTATTCTCCAAGGGGTATGTAAACTTATGAGCACGTGTGTGTGTGTGTGTGTGTGTGTGTTACAGGTAGTAGCATAAGAAGTTTCTTAAAACAAACAAAAAGTTAAGAACTCCATCTGACTATTAATACGGGTGTTCAGTTCTTTGTAGCCTCAGACCCAACAGTGAAGACGGACAGACTGTGGCATGACAAGTACTCTCTGAGGAAGAGTATGATCCCCTCCTTCATCACCATGGATCAAGCCAGGAAGGTACAGCACTTATACCATGATAGTATATCATGTACTTTACATTGACTTTGAGTTCAAATCTGTGATGGCATATTGTAGATTGTAGATGGCATATTGTTATTGATCTATGAACAAGACCTACAAAATTTGATGTTTATGTGTTTTAAGGAAAATGTGAGCTGTGTTTCTCTGTGCAGAACTTGCCACAACAGTGCTGTTTTTTTATGGGTGGTTACTTTTTAGTTGCTTATCAGCACTTGTCAAAAGATTCTATAAAATGTTATGTACAGTATTCTAATCCTTAAAAATGGCTTGGGACCTCCAT